TATTTTATCTTGGAGACCAGTTTTGATTGGAACACATTTTCAAAGTTATCTCGGCCAACCAAGCCTTCCATCCCTCCGGGGTCGGTTAATTGGTACCAGACTTGTCTGGGAGGATAAAAACACTGACTTGTACATCGGCTGGCCCCCGCAAGTCATTGTATAGGCCACATCGCATTCAAACGCCACTACGAATGTACAAATGGAAGTAGAATGCGTGCCGCATCCCAAAAAGGGATTGATCAACGGCAAATGCTTTATCCTTTTTCTTATCTCGGCAGTGGGTATGACATGAAATTCAAAGCGGATTTACAGTGGGAAAGCAGCCCATTGGAACTTGAAATAGAGATGGTCAGTGATGTATGCTCGAAGAAAAAGCCAAGAAAAACGGCCTACAACCCGAAAAATGGCCCCTTCCTTGCCAGTTAATGATGCGATTTTTATCGTTGCCCTTTCCAGCGCTCTCTTTTCCAAATGGCCGGAGCATCAGACATTGAGAGCATGGCGTCGTGCCAATAGCGCACCATTAGCGCCGGGGGAAGGTCATACTTGATCGCCGAGGCATATGTATGTATTCTTCGATGCGAATGCGTGTCAGTTCACACTCTGAGGAGGTCCGCCTGTCTCTCCACTAGGTAAGTTTATCCTTCTTCAACCTTCGTCCTTCTTGGAATTATCCTTTAATCCTCTCTAAGTCGACCTACCCCCAGGTTTTTCCGAGTCCTGCTAAATTGCTCTCGTAAGGGGAAAATTGTGGCTGGATCAAGTACCTTGTGCTTTTGTGATTTCATGAATGTCATGAAAAAAATTTTTTAAACGAGATCTTCTATGACGGTCCATTCTGCAGCTATCTGCAGCTACTTGTGTGTGGTTATTGCACTGGAGATTGAAGGTCGAGGTGAGAAGTAAAGCGACAGGGAAGAATGATTCGAAGGAAATCGCCGAAAACGCTGGAAGCGGAAACCTCAATTTTTGCGTGGCAAATGTTGTACACGACTTGAGTCAATAATTGTGGAATTCACTTGCAAAAGTTTCGATTTTACAACAACCAGAAAGCAAGGATACTTGCTGAAATTACGGCTCTTGGAACGGCACGCTGCAGTATTCCCTGCAAGATTCTCGACTTTGTATTTGATCCGGACATGTATGTTGGGTAAATTGCTTGACTTGGTTTCCTAGGTTTTCCTCCACACTCTAAGCTTCCATTGTTGATCATAGGAGCCCTTAGGCTGCTTTCATAGTCTGTCGCGTCCGCGACGCCGTCCCATGGTGCCGCTGCCTACGGCGCAGACACGTTATGGAAGCCACCTAATACAGTCGTACTCATTGTCCACAGTATCGGTGACCATAGAGCTTTTCAAACGCCGCCACTCAAAGAAGGATTCCACAGTAAGCTTCGGAGGTTGAGAAGCGGCGGAATGGTAGCGTAGTGGAAAGGCAGGCGAGCTTCTGAATCGGGTGGAACGAGGCATTCTGCGGCGAAAGTACTGATTTCAGTGCGGCTAAGCTAGGCAGTCTCCATAGCTACGGCTTGTGAACGCTACACACCTGGCCACCGACGCGCCGTCAACTCTGACTCATGAATACTAGCCGTTCAAGTTGGTACGCAGAGGCGTTTCTAGCTAGTTGCGTCGACAACACTCGCCCTAAGGCAGAATGAACGGTAAAAGGTCTCCAATTCCGCCTGATCTCAGCCGCTTTCCTTACTTTTTTGGTCAGTTTATTGTGAATCACTGTACGATCTCTACCCTAGTCCTGGTGGTCTGCCTTTCTATAAGTAAAATTCGGATTAACAGTTACACTTTATAACCTCAGTACCCTCCGCCCCAGCACAATTGTCTTCGGTTCTGATCATGAAAACCATGAATTTAACTGTTACAAACAAATTTTCCAAAGTGGATTGCATTTTGAGATGAAGGAGATGTCACTCACAACATCGATGAGAAGGAAAAGTTGCATGGCGACTCTGACGATGAGTGGCATGTCACTGAGATTTCTGAAAGGCTGCAAAAGAGAAAAAAAGCATTTGACTTGTATCAACTAAGAGCGATGAGCAAACTAACCGGTATAAGGGAGTTATACCCACGGAACACATCAACCATGAGACGTTCCTCATCCTCAGAGGAGAACACTAAATCTTTCAAAAGGGATATTGCAAAGTATTTACTCACCAAAGAATGTTTTAAACTTCCCATGGAACTTTGAAAGGAGACCTAGGTACATCGATAGAGTCTTGGACGCTGATTACAAATATGGACACTAAAACTGCTACGTGAACTTTGTAAGAAAGTTGTGAGCCTTAAAGTTGCAAAAGAACGCTAATGATGAGAACCTATGTGGAAACACGGTTGCTTTTTGAACTTGTTCTATAAGGTAAATGGGTGCCCTGATTACGAATATGAGACTCGTTTTTGGCGCAGAGCCACGGCGACTGTGATTCCACCAGGTAAGCTCGCCTCAGTAACGTTTTTGCCAACTTTGAAGGCTCATAACTTTCTTAGGAAGTTCACGTAGCAGTTTTAGTCCATATTTGTAATCAGCGTTCAAGACTCTATCGATACATCTAGGTCTCCTTCCAAAGTTCCATGGGAAGTTCAAAGCATTTCCTGGTCAGAGAGGTGGTGGAGTGGCGAGTGGCACCGCTTATCATGGGTGGTGACTGGCGCGCCACTCAGGTCCACTGAGCTATCTGTTCCTCTGGGGTGGGATGACTCTTCTGCTCCTTCCCGAAATCGCAGCGCGCTCTAATTTTAGGCATACTTGTCCTGTACTCTGACTAGCCTACGGCAATTGGTGTCTAAATCAGGCGCTTCTCTCACAAGACAAATCTGACGCGAAGTAGCCGACCAGGAAAGAAGATTGGGTTTGACTGAAAGAGGCTCGATACATGCTTTGACTCTACAACGTACGCGTAATAAATCGCACCTTTTTGCCATTACATCATCTTTGTCTGCGATTTCAATACATTCGACAACATTTTCCGGCACACAGTCGTTAGGAAGGCAGGTCTTACCGTTTACAAAAAGAGAGATGCTGAAGCTAAGAACGAGTGGATGAAGGCGCATCAGTAACAACGACTTCACATACTGATCCTGAAAGCAATAATGACCACATTCATTCGAGTGACAAATGCGTAGTGTAATGACAGAAAAATGCCGCATTTATCGTCATTCAGAGTTCAATAGC